ATGGCTTGTTGCACGTCTGACTGTAACAGTGCGAATTTTAACCCATTACAGCCATTGCAACGTGACTTTTCTATACCAATAATATGAGTGTATGTCATGGCCCAGCAGGCCTGCCTGAGGATGGTCAGCTGTGACAGTGTTTTTGTTGTTGTTACTCTCTCTCTTTCGCTCCTCCCAGGGCGGGACTCATTATGGGTTCCCACCTTTGGCTCACGCACCTGCAGGACATCTACAGTACCTACCTGCGCCCAATTACCTCTGTGTTCCTGTCACTACTTAAGACAATGAAGCTGTGCTACTCGTCACTGGATAGTTGTGCGACTCGCGTTAGTGTTGCCCCGGCATTTTGCCAACGATCCAACCTGTGCTCTCTTTCCAAATAGACCTCCTGGACCCATCCCTGTTTTACCCCGGTAAAACAGGGATGGGTCCAGGTCCAGGTCCAGGTCCAGGTCCAGGTCCAGGTCCAGTGAGTGAGGTGGTGAGTTGGTGTGTCTGGCAGATCACGGTGTGTGGCTATAGAGGATTAAGTGTGACGTATTACTGAATATAGTAATACAGTACTTTTATTTAATATAGTACTTTATTTAATTGCATAATTACTACCAGGGAAAAGTAATTTGTTATACTATTTGTTATGTTACTTTTATGTTACTCTGTAAAATAGCCCAAGCACAGTTTGCCATAATCACTATTTAAAAACATAAACCTGAGGCTACAACCCCACAGACTAAAACAATTGCTTAATGAGGTGACACATCTTTAAAATTGTTTTCGTAGTGGAATACAAAGCTGACTGGACAAAGCAAAGATGAAAACCAGAACAAAAAAGCGATCGCCAGGGATTCTGCTTTGGAAACGTGAACAGGAAGAGAGGGAGGCTGCAACCTGACTGCTCATCTGCTTTGTTACCTGTTGAAGTTGAGGGTCTGGCCCCTGGGGTCGGCATTCCCTCAGTTTTCACTCTGGGTTCTTGGCTAGCTTAGCGTTAGCATGCATCTTGGCAGATGCTTGTAAAGAAACTGAAGTTATCTTAGCAGCATAATGCAGCTGTTTCTGTCCTGGGTGCAGTTTTACACTTCCACTCTAGACTGCGCCATTATTTTTCGCTTCTTAGACGTGAACACAAATCAGGTGATTTACAGTGGGATGCAAAAGTTTGGGCAACCGCTTCCTGTAGGTTCCAATGAGAGTCTGGATTGTGGTTGAAGGTATTTTGGACCATTCCTCTTTACAAAACATCTCTAGTTCATTCAGGTTGGATGGCTTCCGAGCATGGACAGCTCTCTTTAACTCACACCACAGGTTTTCAATAATATTCAGGTCTGGGCTGAGATGGCAGCTCCAGAACGTTGTACTTGTTCCTCTGCATGAATGCCTTAGTGGATTTTGAGCAGTGTTTCCAGAATGAAGCTGGCTTGTCCAAATGTGCTTTAGCGGCTCTGTTTGTGCTGTGGGCGGAGAAAAGGCTTCCTCTGCATCACTCTCGCATACAGCATCTCCTTGTGTAAAGTGCGCCGAATGGTTGAACGATGCACAGCGACTCCATCTGCTGCAAGATGATGTTGTAAGTCTTTGGTGCTGGTCTGTGGTTTGACTCTGACTGTTCTCACCATTCATTGCTTCTGCTTATCTGAGATTTTTCTTGGTCTGTCACTTCGAGCCTTAACTTGAACTGAGCCTGTGGTTTTCCATTTTCTCAGTATGTTCCTAACAGTGGAAACAGACGGCTTAAATCTCTGAGACAGCTTTCTGTGTCCTGCCCCTAAACCATCATGGTGACAATCTCTGTCTTCAGGTCATTTGAGAGTTGTTTTGAGACCCCATGTTGCTACTCTTCAGAGAAAATTAAAAGAGGAGGGAAACTTACAATTGACCCCCTTAAATACTCTTTCTCATTACTGGATTCACCTGTGTATGTAGGTCAGGGGTCACTGAGCTTACCAAGTCAATTTGAGTTCCAATAATTAGTTCTAACGGTTTTGGTATCAATAAAATGACAACAGTGCCCAAATTTATGCACCTGCCTGATTTTGTTTAAACAATTATTGCAAACTTTCTGTAAATTCAAAAAACTTCATTTCACTTCTCAAATATCACTGTGTGTGTGTCTCCTATCAGCGGTCCCCAACCCCCGGGCCTCGGACAGGTACCGGTCCATGAGTCGTTTGGTACCGGGCCGCGAGAGTTGAGGCTCAGGTGTGAAATGTATGGTTTTCAGGGTTTTTATCGGTTTTCAGCGTTATTTTGTTATCGTTTTTATCGTTAACTCTGTTTTCCTGGGTCTTTTCACGTGTGTTATGAATAAATCTTCTTTTTTCGGTATCGGTACTAGTTTTATTTTGTTGTATTTATCCGCGACACCTTAAAGGCCGGTCCGTGAAAATATTGTCGGGCATAAATCGGTCCGTGGTGGAAAAAAAGGTTGGGGACTGCTGTCCTATATGATATATTTAACTGACGTTTTTTATTGTAACAACCAACGATTTATACAGGAAAATAAGTATTAACAAGGTTGGCCAAACTTTTACATCCCACTGTGAGTGTGAGTGCAAGAACCGATAAGCGGGACTGAGATCAAGCAGACAATTGGAGCAGGAAGCAGGAATTAGACTACTGGGAACCAATTTTTTGCAAGTACCGGTTCTCGACTCCCATACCTATGGGAAAACTATTGTTTGGTATGGGGAAATTAATTCATATTGTCTTACAGTGTAATTCATTTGCATCGTAGAAATTACCATGTAAATGACCAGGTTAATTTTGCTCTGGATTGCTTCCCTGCACCTTCAGATCGGAGATGGGTTCTGACTGTTTCCCTGTTCTTTGCTATGTTATTTATAAGTTCTTACCAAGATAATGTGAGAGCAGTTTAAAAATAAATATGTTTTAGTGTTACAGCAAGTTGTGAGTATTTTGCAACAGCATTACTCAAGTTAAATAGACAATCAGTAATATTTTGTAATATTTTAATAAAAAACATGCTTCTTCCGTACAGACATGACTCATATCAAAACCACCATCACTATACTCTCCAGAGCAGCTGCTAAAAGAAAGGAGAATAAATAAGAGTTCATATCTTGTATTGATTTATTATCGTGAAATAAAACTAAAATACGGTAAAATTTGATTTGAATGAGCAAATCTCATCTCTCATCTGAGCTCCCTTCTCTCCTCAAACGTGAACAAGACAAAAGATTCTTAAACTCCACACTTGGGGCAGTAATTCATCCCCAAGCTGGAGTGGGCACTTGACCGGGTGAGGACCATGACCTCAGACTTGGAGGTGCTGATTCTCTTTCCTGTCATGTCACCCTCGGCTGCGAGATGCTCCAGTGTGAGCTGGAGGCCACTACCTGATGAAGTTATGAAAATGATTCATCTAACATGTTTGTGGTTCTCACAATAAAAAAAACTTACTTGCTTGAATTTTAGGTTTTTTGTGTTATTTTAGGCCAATTGTATAAATACACTATGTTAACATGAAAAAATAACTGTAAATTTAGACGTGAGGTTGTACTGAAAGCAATGATACCACAAACAATGCAAAGAAAACAATTTTTTAAGGGGAAATATAAAGGTAAAATCAAAAGCAGTCAAAAACGGCCAACTATACCCTGGACCCCAAGAGAATGTGGAACAGGGAAAACAAACAGGTCCAAACAATCACAGGATAACAAGATAAATGAAGTAAAACTAAATGCAAAACACAGGGAACAAAAGACTGCCAAAATAAAATGAGGCGTAACAAAGTAAACATCTTACATCAAGACATAAACTAAATAACTTCGAAGAGCATGTGTGCAAGAATCCAAAACAGCTGTAACAAACTGCAGTTAAAGGAGCACAGAGAAATATTTGGACAAGCCTGGACCCAGAGGCCTGCCGCTAACATAGCCACCGGTTGACTGTCTGCTTGTGAATTATCTCTGCTTTGCAATGATTCCTACATCTCAGTCTGTCTGTATTTTAAGCTAATTAAAAAAAAAAAAGATTTAGTTTTATAAATCTCATAGAGTACAGATAATGCAACAAACAGTATTACTTAACCAGGCAACATCTAAATTATAAATTAAACACAATGTTAATACCAGCAGCCTGACACTTTTTAGGTCCCTATCCTACTGCCAAAACAACTGTAACAGATCTGGGTATGGACATGCATGTGGGATCCCAGAGGGTTTTCTCTGTTCTTTGGCACTAAGGCGTTGGCAGCAATTCTGTGGCTTGTGTGGGATGTTGAACGATGTCACTGTGGGTCGAGCTTCTTTCAGTAGATTTTGGGACTGGGAAGAAACCTTGTTGGGTTAGATTTTAATCATGTTCCATGAATCAATAACGAGCATTTTTTGTGGCTAAGCTGAGTGCACTGACCTACTGAGAGGCTACTTACATTTAGGAGTACCTGCCGTGGTGTGCAAACTACTGCTAACAGTTAAAATGAGACAACTTCTTTTCCCTCTCAGTCATTAGTTTGACAACATGTTGGCCGCAAAAATAAAAAAAAGTGTTTTCATGTCACATGAAAGGAAAAAATTAACTATTTTTTTAAAACAAAATTTATATTTGAAAAAATATTAATGTATGTAGTTATATACAGTAAACAGTAAATGGCATATCTCTCCCTTTTCTGTCTAAAATCTCATTGTCATGTTTTTCCCTCAGATACAGTCTCTTCTTATCTTATTTCTTTACATAGTCTCACATTCTTTAGAAATCCCAGTGTCATCTCTGTCAGTAAAAGCTACGTAATGTGTTCTAATTTGATGTCTGCCAAAACTTGTCAGAACTGGTCTTTTTACATGTGTCAACACGCCATAACCACATGTTTGACTGCTTGTATCCCAGCAACCCTTGATCTGTCTCTCTTCTTTTCTTGAGTCTAAATTCAAACGGATTTGTGCAAGAAGAGTCAAAACGGCCAAGAAAAAGTTTTAATTGTAATAATTATGAATCATTTTGGCAGATTGAGTT